TAAATCGACATCAGAACTCTGCGACACCTCCTCTTAGGCCACCCTTAAAAAATTATTTGTTTCCCCTTTACCTACTCGCCTCTCAGGGTACCGAGTAGGTAGGTAGGTGAAAAATCTTTTTTATTTTGTTTTGACAAGATGTGTGTATGTATGTATATTGTATATTCTGTTTTGTGTATGTTTTTGCGGAACCAAATAATTTTTGTTTTGTTTTAATCGGCCAATAAAATGTGTCGAGTAGCGGCGTTTTGGCGAGTCGGTCGGTAAAGGGAAAACAAGCAATATTTTATTTCAGGCCCGATGCATGATATCATCTCACAGACAATACCAGATTTTATTTATCGCAACACGACATGATCGGCACTAATTACAATTTGGTATTTTGCGCATATCGATCTCCATCCCCCCCTTGCTCAGCAGGGGGCAGCACTCACCAGTGGATGGCGGAGTCGCGGCTCGCTGTGTCTTCGTAGTGCGACTCTATAAACTTGTCTTTGTTGATGCGTCCGGCGAGACAGAGCATGTCGGGAACGTGGTTCTCGTCGCGTTCCAGCGCCCTCTGGATAACGTTGAGCGCACAGCAGCAGCAGCAGCAGCAGCAGCAGCAGCAGCAGCAGCAGTAGCAGCAGCAGCAGCAGCAGCCGCATTATAATCATTGCTACTGCAATCTTAGTGGGGGTATGAAGTGTCACGAAAATAGCTCTCGTAGGATTTTTGTGCTAAAATTGAGTTTTTTTTTGCTTTATCTTGTTGATTGAGGGTCAAACGATCACACACAACACTACTGCCATCTCACCTGACACTCTTTATCGACTCCACGAGGAACACCCACTCGTGCATGCCCTTGTTTGGACACGGGGGCGCCACATGCCACAGTCGAACCGAGCTCTCCTGATTCCAGATACCGGCCTCCAGGTTAACTGTGACGTAGCTCGGCATGTATTCCTTAGTCGGCTCCAAGATCAACACCTACGAGTTAAAGTTAAGTTAAATCCTTCACACGCCTATATGGTGCATAAGGCGGTGGCTATCTTCGTTTCAGTAACCCTGAGGCCCCGCAGCTGCTTTCACAGTAAATGCTACAGTAAGTCCACTGGTAGCACTGGGAGTTAACTTGCCACACTCTATCTCTATTTGCTGAATGCTAAGCAGAGAAGCCGTGTGTACCATTTTTCAAGTGTTTGGTATGACCCGGCCAGACGCGAGTGGACGTGATGGGACCTGACTTACAGGAAAACGAACGTCAGTACATTCCGTCTTTGTTGCTTCCATAAGGAACTCCATCCAGAAGAGAAAGATCTCTTCATCGCGTGGAACCTCCTGTTCCGTCGGCTGGGCCTTCTTCCGGAACGTGTTGATCAGCGATATGTTCCCTATCGTTGACTTCAGATACCTGCCAGCAGAAACACAAAATCGTGCTGCAGTTGCCACCTGGTGGTGAACATGTTAGGTTTTCACTGCCTACCCAGCTAACCATACAACGTTGTGGCAACGTTGTCACAACGTTTCACTTACATTGTGAAAATGTTGTGATACAACGTTGTGGCAACGTTGTCACAACGTTTCACTTACATTGTGAAAATGTTGTGATACAACATTGTGGCAACGTTGTCACAACGTTTCACTTACATTGTGAAAATGTTGTGATACAACGTTGTGGCAACGTTGTCACAACGTTTCACTTACATTGTGAAAATGTTGTGATACAACATTGTGGCAACGTTGTCATAACGTTTCACTTACATTGTGAAAATGTTGTGATACAA